TTTCTTTTACATAAACTACCCGAAATTAAATGAAATGCTTTTTAATAAGATTAGAATCTGTACAAATTTTAATTGATTAAAATTCAGGTTACTGACCTTTAACAATCTGTTCGTCACATACTACATTTGCTAGATAAAGTGTTGTAGAGCTTTTATACCTTTGCTCGTGTGCATGGATTTTAATGTATCGACGTCTCGTTCTACCAGAAGATCAACAACAAGACATAAATAAAGTTGATGGTTAGTATCTGATAACACCTAACGGGAGTTTGTAAGATTTTAGACGTCTATCCGTAATCATATTAATAATGACTTTAAAATATCCACCACACACCTTACTAACTACCTTCTGCACTCTCCGCAATATAGCAGTCTTCTCAAAAATCCAGGGAAGAATCATGGAGAACAGTAATGAATAATAAGTAATATGCAAGAATTAGCAAATCGTAAAAGTAAATGTCTAGTAATGCCGATAGCATGCTACTTTCTATAACAATAAAACACGACAAGGCCAATAGAGATCAGAGTAAAAACACACACCAAGATAAATGACTTTTAACACTTTATTGAAGAATCGCCAATAATACATGATTTGTGGGATCCCAACAGTATGTTTAAATGCTGTTTATGTATCAGGCTATGGTTAACAATTTGAAATTTTGGAGGATTATGTGTGAACCCATCGTTCAATAAGAGACGAGAACGCATCCATTTCAGGGGGATATGAGTAGGTAGAAATCGGCGTGTATACAGTAGGTCGTACGCATATTTAACAAGTGTTTCCTGTCGAAGATGGCAGGTCATACAGAAAAAAAGAAGGAAAGGAACAGTCCCTTGTGGCACACCTTTATCACTCAGTAGAGACATTGAGAACTTTCGTTTAAACACAGTATACTGTTTTCTTTCAGAGAAGTAAGAACACAGCCAGTTGGTTATCCAGCTGACGATGTTGACGCTGATAAACTTGTTAATTAGTGGTTGTCTTAGAATAGATTCAAAGCCAGAAGTGTAATCTAGAAATGCTGTACACTATATTATGATTCAGAAGAACAGCATCATCTAAGGTGCTTCTTTTGCATTTGTAAGCAAACTGATATGAATTATTATACTCTTTTTGTGCACATTGAAGTCGGAGTAGCAATATTTTTTCTATAATTCTGACACAAGGTGAAGTTATTGCTATGTGTTTAAATTCTACATTTTTATCATCAGATACTTTCTTAGGTATTGGAATTATTTTTCTCTTTCTCCACATTTTCGATATGAGATTAGTTGGAAAGGATTTGTGAAAGATGCTTGTCAAACATTAACAAAGAATGTCAGCACACTTCTTAGAAAGAGGTTTGGGATTTCGTCAGGTCTTAAGCGTAGGAACGAGTTAAGTGACTGGAGACATTTTCGGACATCAGTTTCAGTGAAAATTGGAAAACAATTATTCTTCAAACCTGAGGATATAGGATACATTACATCAGATGACTGACGTACGAAAAACTTATTTAGGTCGCATACATTCATCTGGTTATCGCCTCTCACATGTAAGCTCTCTAAATATTTTTCCTTCGCTTATTGGTCTTGGATTTAACTGTATTGTACCAATAAGGTGCTTGTTTATTTGTCATCTTACTCATTCTTTTCAATTCGCATTGATTCCAGGATAATTTTAACATGAACCTTTTTAGTATTTGGTTATTGGTATCAATGTTTATAAGCTTTTTTTCCATCCAATCTTGAGCCTCAGTACTTTTTATGTTGGTTATACATCAAAATCATAAATGGCACCTTATTAATCGAATATTTTAGATAACGCCAAGTGGTGGAGGCGAACGTAAACGAAGTTATCTTTTTGGTAAATATCAATTCAAATCCAATCCTAGTTCGTCAGCGTCATCCAGTAGCTCAGCAGGCTGGAAGCGGTAAAAACTTTATTCTCAAAACATGACTTGACTATTATTTTCATCTGAAATTATTTCTATACATTGTGAAGAAATAAATAACAACTCCATTTTTACTAATTTTTGCGTCCTATCCAGCTACCACTATTCAAACGGTTGTAGTTATGCGAATCGACCTAATTTCATTCACTATTTCATGTTACTATTAGTGTTCTAGTAATTTAACGTCAAGTTTGACAAACTAATTGTTCTACTCCTTTATATTTTAGTCATGTGACCATCATACATTCTTTGGACTTATTATTTATTGACGTATAATACAATTATCATTAGAAACTGATATTATTTTAAGAGCTGCTATATATGAAGGAGCGTTTCGTGTGGTTATAAATTTCATTAATTTTGTCCCTGATCAAATAAATGCACAAGCTTCAATTATTGCAATGAACAAGTCTTTTTTCAACCTATCCTTTGTAGTCCATTAGTTGCATGTTTTTGAATTTAATGAACTTGCTACTTAGTGTTGTTGGATAAAAGCATTTTCCCTCTTATTGCTAGTTCCAGGAAATACATCACTCTCTTTGCTCACAATATCGTACTGATCTGTGTGCAGTAGCTATTATTATGTACTTGGCATCACGGACTGATCTTAGTTAATCAACCATTGAAACCGGAAAATACTGGTCAGATATTTCTTTGTAGTATAGGACTCCTCAAATTTGCGCACACAGGAGCATTAAGTTTCTTAGCAAGCGCTTAACGTTTAGATTACTAAGCCGACATCCAGTACTTCTCTAACTTTAATCAATTCATGTACGTATGTCAGTTAATTCCACAATATCATTTTTTCATTTCTTATAGAAAAGCTCCAACAAGTACGTTCAACTCAAACACATTTCAACCAAAACTAATGAAACTTTCTGTAAAGCGAGATTAATTAGACGTTTTTATCGGTTATTTGTAAAGTTACTTATTGTTTTTATGCATTTTGATGTATCAAAAGAATATTTGATTTAAAAATATTCGTGTTTCCTTTTTTCTTTAAAAAATATATCTGGGTTGAAATGTTACTTAAGACAAGTATTTTGTAAATTTAAATGCAAAAAACTCAAGTCTATCAAAGATCCTTATGATTGCAATGTGAGTGGACTTTTAAACTCACATTCTTTGTTTTGACAAAACACTAATACCTTACACCAGTTAATGTACTATCATATCAGTGTGCAGTGTCTGTAAGATAGTGATCAATCAGATTCTTCTACTTCCTCTCCGGAAAACAATCTCATGGATAGGTTACTTTGCCTGTAAACGTTAGTAATGATGCTTCTATCTGCGTGAAAAAAGTTAAAAATACCTAGCTAACATATTTAAAAAGTAAAATGCAATGCAGATTGTGTTCGTAGTGTAACGTCGTTTACACGTTTCTGTATTTCGTTTTCATCTCATTTCTCTCTGAAATAATGCTTAAGTTGTCTTATCATTTATAGAAATTACTTTACTAGTGCAGCGAGCACTTATTTCACGAAGTTTAAGAATTACATGCCTCATACTTGACACTGTCAACATACTGGGATTATTAATAAACTTGTTTTGTAAGATATCCGTCAGTAAGAATCCATAGTCGATTAGATAGTTAATTTTTGATGCGTTATGTAAAGTTGATAGTCATTATAATTCCAGTAAAACAATAATATTCATAACTAGGATACTGAAAGATCAGTATAAATTTCTTAGTATGATAAAAGTTCAAATGAACTATCATAGTTCAGCAAATAAATACCAATACGATTTTAGATTATTTCTGGTTTAAATATTTAGATCTATCAGCTAGTTTTATATCTTAGTAAACGTGGTACTATCATTCAAGAGGTGAAATTCAATTTGTTAGTAATAAATATATTCTTAAGTATGGCTTACTGATATACAATTGGTCCCTGATAGATTACTTGTTTTACCAGTAACACCATACAAGTGTAAGAATACTGTGCATTCAGTGGTAGGGCTGCAAGAATTAAATTACTATTTCAGAGAAGTGAACATATGAAATGTGACTGTTGAACACTTAGTACTTTATATTTTTAAACTAGCAATACAAACTAAATCTGTATTGATGATGAGGTGACCTATATCTTAAAAAAAATAAATGATTCAAAGCGAGCAACCTATCTTCGTGGGGAAGTGTTTCGTAAGTGCGCTCACACTACTGAAGACACAACAGTTGATGATAGGAGAGATACCTCTTGAAAAATTCATACAATACATTTAATAGGAAACCGAATAAGTGTACACTTCGTTTAATTAACTTGTATGTGTATTCAATATGGCCGCAATGTCAGACTTAGTTATGATATGAATAAGTTAACCCAACATATTTTCAAATAGTGATGTGAGAAATTCGGATTAAAGAAACAGAGTGTAACATCCAAGTCATTGATTTCCAATGTATATCTCATGATTCGCTAACACAGTTGGATGTAACAATCCAGTTATTATTGCAGATATATCGATATCTTGTACAACTTTGTTTCTTCATATTTACCGATATATTATCATTTAGAAAACCTTTGTTTGTTATAGATAGCATTACAATAGTGATTTATTCTCAGGTTTTGCGCTCTATTCTTTCCAAAATTGCGTAATCAAAATTTTAGGTAAATAATTATAGGATCATCATATCTTATGATTGAGGTCACCACAAGTATGCTAATGTTCATAACGTTCCTTTGCTATGTTTAGAAATCCACGAATCCCGCTTATTTATAACTAGTAATAAGAGACATATTTCAAACGATTTATTTCTGAAGGAAACACGGGTAAGGAAAACATTTTTCATGTGTATGAGGATTAACTAAGCTCTTTAATGCTGTATACTGATTGAAAAGTCACATAGGTGTAAAACAAAACTCCCAAAATGGGTGAACTACCTGAAATTTTTGGCTAAAATTATTAATACACAATCTTGCTTGTTATATAATTTGTACATGTGTATTAGTCAAGATGTCATGAAATCAACCATCATGCTGCCTTTAACTAAAAATAATCAGTTGAAGTTATGAAACATAAAAGATGAGAATAATAAAGAGTTTATTCCACTTTTCAACAACTGATCTATAATGAGGCTAATTCTGGTGGAAGTTCAAGCTGTGATAAATCACGGAAATGTAGTAACAGCGCCATCATTTTTGTCAATCGTGGTACAGTGGATGAGACACCGGAATAACCCATAGAGTTCGCAGTCACAGAGCCTTTACCCTCTTCTGATGTATCGAATTCATCTCCTGATGATTCGATATGTCGAAGTATAGCTCGATTTAGTGCTCCTGCAACCACTTCAGCGTGTTGAGGACTAAGCAGCTTGCCATAAATACTTTCAGCAGGATTATCAAAAGCTAATAGTGCCATAGTATTTTGCATTTCATTCAATAATTGAGGATGTTCTGATAACCGTTTGGCTACTGGGTCCGCTAAATACGACTGGGCAAATATAAGGGCTTCTTCTAAACGCTTGTTCCGAATAAGTTCTAGCATTTGCAGCTGCCGAAGCTAGTCGTAAAAACAAAATTTTTTAGATATTATTTAGAAATAAAGAGTGGGAAATTTAGTTAATCTACGGTCTAAACTTCAGAAATAAGTAAGCTTTCTTTAGCTTTCGCTGTCATATGAATTAAAGACTGTAAAATTGAATTGTTAAGGTTATCTTATAAGTACTTTACAATATATTTCACTCCTCCTTCTGTAATATGATAATGGATAGAATTCGGCCAAGGAAACCAGTCAAGATACAGAACATGACACTACTATTTTGTGATGTAAATATGTAAATTATCAATAATAAATTACATCTTACCTATTAAATTTGTGTGTGTGTGTGTGTGTGTGTGAAAATTCGGAGGATACAAAATAAAGCAAATATGCTTCAGCTTACAACATTTGTTGTCCCTACCTCATAATGGAACTGTGAGAAATTGTTTGATATTGACAGTGGCCATTCGATTAATCATTATGACAATGAGTAATCTGCCAGATAATCATTACACTGACCTGTTATAGGCTTTTAGAAACAACGTACCGATAAGTATATTCGGCTTTAAGAGTCCAATTATATTAAAATGATGATGAAATATAAAAATTAAAGCATGTGAAAATACAGTTTATTGTGACAAAGGTCTTTCATGGAGTTTAGTAACAACTCCGTTCTGCATTACGCTCTATCTATTACGATTTCGGAATTGTAAGAACACAGAAAGATTATAGTACTGTTGTGGATGCGGAGGAATAGACCAATAATTATCATGTTAAGTCCAATAGTGTCCTTGGACTTTAAATGGACATTTTCTATTGGTCGATATCTGTTCACTTGTTGAATATTGTACAAAATGTTGTTTTCTATTTTATGGTACGATGTGGTGTGCTTGATTGGTATATAAACAAAGTATGTTTGAAATATAATGATTCATATCTCCGAGGCTGTGGCTTGTGTTCTGGACTCAACTGACTGGGCTAGACAGGGAAGCGCAAACCAATCGAGACTCTAGGCCGTCCGTACGTGTTTGCGTGTCACTGTAATCGATCGATAAATACGCTGTTCTCTAATCTCTTCAGTCAAGGACACAACAATTAGCACAGGGTAAAAAACGATCGCAACTTAGTCATAACAAGTACCTACGCTTAGTTCTATTGACAGTAGTTCAAACAGTAAAATTTGTACCTAGAGCTTCCTGGCACTTTGATCAACTGAGATGACTGAATGTGTCATGCATTCTCAGCCGTTGGTCACATTTATGCACTATTCTGGAATAAGCTTACAAGTCCTCAAGGGCAATCAGAGAAATACATGATATAAGCTTATGAAATTAATTATCAACATATTCTGGAGAAAAATGTGGACTTTTACGACATGGCAGGCGAAATCGTAGTGAATAATGATTGCTTACTTTAGGTGACATAGATCATGATTGTACGTAGATGTTCAACCGTGTTCTGATTTGGGGACTTGTCGAGTGAATCGGTGTCCGAGAATACTAAGCAATAGGAATAGCTGGGTCATAACCGTAAGAAGAGAAATTATAACAATGTGCAAACGAACTTATTTCGAATCTTTCCTGATATTTTCGAAGTATTATTATCCAGCATTTTTATTCATTCGAACGTGTTTGCCTTTAATGATATTTTAAACCATCCGCTTTCCCGCTGCTTGGACTGATATATGTGCAAAGATTATTAGAGAAACCGATCTCAACAGCACTACTGAATCTCAATGTTTACTTGGTTTCCTTTTATTTCAATAGTTTTCTACTTTGGTTATTTTCTATACTCAAAGCGTCGATGTTGTTCAGTTGTTACTTTGAGCTGAGATATATTTAACCAGTCCACTACTTTTTTATGGAGTTTTGGATTTCTTTAGTTTATAGGTGCTATTCATCACAGACTGACCCTAGTTGGCGCACCACTGAAAAGCAAGAAACACTAGGGAGCTTCTACAGTTCCAGCTAGTGATTAGTCTAGCATAGCATATGGATGATCCATCAATTATAAACTTGTATGGATAGTATTGAGACTTTACACAGGTAACGCGTGTCAAATATTATATTCAAAGGATTGACATGAGATAGGTAGTATATCTTACCTGAAAGTAGATAAAAGGGTTTTTATCAAAGAGTTCAGGCCATAATCGATTCACTGTATCAATAACGTCTTCAATTTTCCTTAACAAAACTGCTTCACGAATCCACATACGATCATTCAAACTTGCACCTGCAACTTGCAACTCATTTAAAGGCTCTACAATTCCCGTCTCACGACTAAATTTTTCAGCAACATCTTTGTAACCTTCAACGACTAAATACTCCAAGATGAGTCGATTTATTTCTTGTCTAGTCAAACTGAGTCCATCTTGCCCTTCAATGGGACCAAGAGTGTGAAGAGGGACACCAATCGATAATGTATTACTTGACATATCAGTCCCAACTGTACTAATGGGTGCTAATTCAGTTTGTCCAGAGTTCACTTCTGTATGTGGAGTAGACATAGGTCTTAACAATAAGGTTAATAACAGGAAAAATTATGCCTAAATAGCGATCACCAGAATGTAAATAGGCGTATTAATCAATAAAAATCAATTCCACATATGCCAAAAACCTAATCAGAATTTAGCTATTCAAAATTCTAAAAATATTTGAGCATGTAAAAAGTGCGCACGAATACACAACATTAAAAAATATTTACTTAAAAAAATTGAGTAGATAAGCTTTTAAAGTTTTGATTACGAGTTATGACTTAAAGTTGCAAACTTCGTATTGCTAAACAAAATAATATCACTCATGTACCCTATCACGTAAAACTATTTGTTAGGATCAGTAACGGTTTCTGTGAAAAAGCTTTTTGTCTGTATTTTAGGAAAAAATCGGACTACTTCTGCAGTACATCAAAAGTTAAATTAATAGTCATCTAATAGGATGTCGTTATACATTTTGTGCCAAGAATTCTGTAAATTAGATTAACTATAATAAGAAATATTGCAACATCCATGTACCTAAACGTACAGAAATACAACGGAGACCATAAAAAGTAACGTAACTAGCTACGAAAAACGTTGTGAGCACATTAATCTTTGAAAGCTAGAAGTTTATAATAGTTAGTCAACTCCACCAAACAAATACGTGCGCCAACGAGAGCATGATTTCAATCTATACGTGTGCTCCGGAATGAGAGGCACTCTTCCATTGAGACTCTCCAATGAGAGATGATGTCAATATGGTCTATTTGAATCTACCGTTGAGTTGGTTGTGAGTGATGCCCGCTTGAAATAAACGAGTATCTGAGCATAGTTGCAACAGATGGCTGCAATTATCTGTTCGATGAGCTCAGACACCATGAGGTTCACCTAAGTTCCTTTCTCTTTGCTTTAGTCCACCTACTTGAACATGACAATCAATAGACATTATTATTGCATCAGAGTGCTTAGTTTTTTGAAGGTTGGAATGCTTCTTGTAGAATTCACCCTATACTTCATACGAGCTCGAGTCAGTAGGATTTGATTTTTAGGATCGAGCTTTCATGACCTCTTCCTTCCGTTGTGAAAAGGCAGCATTGCTCTAGATGCTGGTTACTCAAGGGGGACAACTTACTACTGTTACGCACCTCTACAGTAAGCAGTAAAACTTCGCCCTCTGACATTACAGTGCTAGTTTTGGTCGTACCACTCCCCAACTAACCTACCTGTTAAAATTGGACCAAAAGAAACACGTGTTCCAGTCAATATAGCTCAGTCGAGTCACGTCAACGTAGCAGCTGATGTCGGACGCGCAACATACTACACTGAGGAGTTACAAAATATAAGAAATCGAAAGCCAAATTAGCTGATAAAATCCGTTGAATGAGTTCACGAGCCAGTGCCTTTATTTACATTCTATAATAATCCATCATTTATTTGGAAGCTACTCGTAAGGTAGAAACCACGAAATCAAGGTAAGGTTTGTAACTTTACAAATCTTAATTTTGTATGGCAGGGTAACAGAAGAAAGTCACCGAAGTGCTCAGGTACAGTTTTAAACTTGCTAATACTTTAAATGGTATGATTTAAGTTTAGCAATAAATGCTGTAATCCAATGAAAACGTTTTTTGCTTATAATACGTGCTTTTATAAATGCTACGGGTAACAGATCGAAAATAAAGAAAGCAAGAAAGTTTTTGTGACTACTATCCCATAAGTGAGTACCAAACAGAAATGTAGTCATTCAGTCAAATAGAACGTATGTATATCGGTTCAAGTTACCATACCTCATTAGCACACAGATAGAATAGACTGTCAGGACAAATCACAGAATAGGAGAGGTAGTAACAGTATCGGTGGTGATTACGTGTCGAATATACCACTTGAAAAGAAAATATAGATTAGTGCAAGAAAAACAGAAGAAAACAGGTATGATGAATTCAGAGGCTCAGAATTTGAGGCAAGACAAACGATGGATGCACCTGATCTACTCCAAATGATTTCGAGCCAGTTCGACCAAAGTACATAACCACTGTTTATTATCATTACTAATGGTCTTACCCAATATTATGTAATCAACCCGACCCCAACAAACTAATCTACACCTGTTAAAATGGCTCAGTACAATCCTCAATCACTTCATCCACCAATGACATGTTTTGGTTTGGCAATATAACACATGTCCCAACCACCTCAGCTGATGAAGATTCAATAACCACCTTATCAGTCAATTTATCATCCTTAACTAGTACCCTATCCATAACACAGGCATTGCTTACTCGGTAGTATGTCTATGTTCCAGAACCTGCTTACGGGTGAATATTCGGTCCAACATGGTTTTCTCGGGTTTACTCTTCACGACCTCTAGTTAGACGTTGAAGCACTTTTGAGGCTAATATTTCAGACATTATATTACTTAAACTGATCCCTCTGTGCTTGTCACAAGGGGACTTTTGTACTTTCTTATAAGCTGGGACGATCAGCGATCGAGACCAGTCAAATGGAATTATGTTCACTTCCCAGATTCTAACTAAAATTTCAGTTAATCCGAATGTTAAAACTGCACCATTATTCTTAAAAATCTCAGGGGTTACTTCACTAGGATCTGCTGGTCTCCATCACTTTAAATCACTTGTAGCCTTTTCAACCCATGATTTGGAAGATTTACATCAACTTGCTTGAAGATGATGGATAACTGAAAGTCAATTGAACTACCTCCTCAAGTGTTTTATTTATTTATTTAACGTCCTCAGCTCAGAGAGGCCAGGTTTCACAAGCATAGAGCAAAACTACTCTTACCGACGCGTTGTAGATCCGACCTCTTACAGCCAGACTAACATCACAAAGGCGCCAAACATGGCCCGGATTGGCATAAGCCGCTCTGGCTTTCACCATACGTGCATTGATCCCAACACTCACACCCCCACCAGCACTTATGCAGCTACCTAGATACACGAACTTCTCGACTACTTCTATCTGCTTACCATCCAGGGTGAGTACAGGATTAGACCTGCTTCGGTCTGGGCACACCTGCTCCTCAAGTGTTCTCCCTATTGATCAGATCTTCCGGATTGAGAGTAAATAATACCTTCGTCTTGTTCCGAGAGAGCTTCAATAACATGGCTCAATCCAATCCTCAATAACTTAATCCACCGAAGATATGATTTAATTTGGCCGCCCCTAGCATTCATTCAGTCTACTCATACAACAATTAACATCGCCCATCTAGGTAGACGGTGGTCGGCCATATATATAGAACATGTCCCATCCACCTCAGTTGATGGGGATTCACGAACCACCTTATCAGTCAATTTGTCATCCTTACAGTGTACCCTATCCCAAACACAAGGATTGCTTGCTCTCTGGTTCGAACTAAAAGAGCAATGCTTTGAAGACATCGAATAGTAACTTATAAATGTCCTATATTCTTAATAATCATATTTCACACTCATAAATTAGAACCAAGTGAACTCGTCTTTTAGTTGACAGACAGATAACTTGCCTTCGCCACAAGAGAAGTAACTTGGAAAAAGCAAATCAAGCTTTCTGAATCCATGTCGAGATTTCGTCACACATTATACAACCAGAACTGATGAAACTCTCAAGATAAAAAAAGCAAAGTATGCATTCAACGAGTTCACTCACTGTCAAAAAATGCAAACGGGAAAACAATGCTATACTGGTGACCTTGAACAACCACAACACACTGGCTGGCTATATACTCACTGATAATAAGTGAAGAAATTTCAACAATACAAAATGGTTGGTGAAAGTTAGCTTAAACTGCTTATTACTGAAAACGGAAAAGGGTAATCGGCAAAAACCAGATGTCAATTTACGGTTTAGAGATATGGGTAAGAGATGAATCTCTGGGTTAGCAATTATGGTTAGGTACAAGAGCCGACTAACGGATGATAAATATTTGAGACACAACTTACATCAAGATCATGTATTTTTCGTAAGTTAATATAGGTAGGATGTAAAACTTATTGTATTATCATCACAGCTACAATACACAACGTAGAACCTAACACGCATGCATCGGTTTAAATTGTCATGTCTTACTAACACAGCCAGACAAAATTATTTCAGAACGAATCCCCGCGTAGTAGTAGTAGTAAAATTACCAATAAAAGTAAAAGAATATTATGTATATAAAAAGGAAAAAGGTACTGCAGCAAGATTTTAAGCAACTTAGAACTTGGTATAGGCTATTTTGATAGTAAAGCTGTACCACAAGGGCGAGAAGATTGCAAATGCGAGAGCCGATTTAAAGTCACAATGTATACTTTTATGCAGCACCTCTTCTAGCGAATAAGGACTCACTTAGTAATGCTTGTTTATTCTAATGCGAATAATCCGACTCAGGAAGACATTTTAAATTATTTAAATGAAGACAGTACCCCAAGATGTCTCAGTAAAGATTTATGACCGGCATCTATGTCACAGGGTAAAAATGTAGAATTTAGAATCATGGGTTATAGTTGTAATTAGATGTAGGACAGAATTAGGAGTTTGGAATTGGAATTTCAGATTACCATTTATTTGTGGGATCCAGAGTTCAGGACTTGACGCTAGGTTTGGGATGTAGCCTTTGGTTCACGATTAAGAATAGGTTTTAGACTACATACCGATTAACTGCCAAGTCAAAGACCGCTCTTTACACCATGAACATACCAAACCATAATACTGAGCTGTATATTGATATTTGTTGCGTTTCCATGGTCTATATGTTGATTTATTCACAATCATTCAAAGACTTGATCAAGCTTATGCATCGGTCCACATTGCCATACCTCATTAGCACAACAAAATGAACACCAAATTCATAAAATCAGTTACTTCAATAGTAGCAAAATATCTAAAAAAACATTCCATATAAACATAAAATACAGGGAAAAAGAATTAGTTCGTACAAAGAAGGGTATAAAGTAATTTGAGGGAAGACAAAGAGTGCATACACCTACACCATTGTGATTGACTCTGACTCTGAGCCATGTCACTCAAAGTCTCCCACAACTAGCTACGACAGTCGCGTGCACCACAACCAAGTAGTTTACATCTACCGACATGGCTCACACTGGAAGTTAATGACTTTATGGACGCCAAATTTTCGTTTGGCAGCCCTAACTTTCTTCCAGCCGTCTCCAAAACTAGTCAGCATTGCTCACCGTGGTAGTCGGTGATTAGGCATGTGTAATACGTAGCCTAACCATCTCAGTTGATGTAGATTCACAACTTCATCAACGAATTTACCATCATTTCCTAATACCATGCGTCTAACCTCATTATTACTTACCCGGTGATCCCAGCAGATGCAAGCTATATTTCTAAGACATCTGTGATCAAAACTAGTAGCTTACGAGTATCTTCTACTCTTAATGGACACGTTTCGTGGCCGTAAAGTAAAACAGAACGAACTGCCGCGCAGTATACTCGTCCTTTAGTTGATAGACGGATACCTCGCCTTCTCCATTGGTGATGTAAGTTGACAAAAACCAAACAAGCTTTCTGAAACCATGAAGAGGCTTTGTCACACACCACACCATTAGTGCTGATCAGACTTCCAAGATAAGTGGAGTTTTCGATGTGGTCGACTACTCCACTCCCTATCCTTAGTTCAGGTGTTGACGCAAGCCAGTCTTGAAGCAACAATCTGCATTTAGGGAAGGAGAAACGCATCACAAACTTCCTGGCATTGTTGCTCAGTGCTACCAAAACACTGTGTCTTCGCCAAACAAAACTATGTCATCTGCGTGTTCCATAAGATCTGAGTTGACTGATAGTGTTCGAGTAAAGAGCCTTCACAAGTTTTATGTACTTCTGAGATACGCCTCTCAACGACAGACAGACACAGAACATCTTGATCTACAGAGTCAAATGCTGCTTTCAAGTCCAGAAAAACCATCTTTTTCAGACGCTGATAAGCAAACCTGTGTTTTAGGATCTGAAGAATGTCGAACATGTGATCGGTGCAACTACGATCAAATTCGAAGCCAGCCTAATTTTCTCGTATATTCAGTTCATGAGTCTTTGTTAGACACCTGATAATTATTGAGGCCAGTATTTCAGACGCTATATTAGTCAAACTAATCCCTCCATGGTTATCACATGATGATTTTGATCTCTTCTTACATATCGGGACAATCAGTGGTACCCCGATACGAGCGATAGTCTTCTATCGTGACTTCCCAACGATGACTGATGGCAATATGGTCTATTTTGGCCCATCATTTGTTTGGTGCAGGGGCTCGTCATGTTAGACGATGTATCTCCTTAGCTTCAAAATTAACGATTAAAATAAACGGTTGTCTGACCACAGTTATAGTAGACAGTCACCATTATCTGTTCACTGAAGATTCCCACTTTTACAATGAAGGTCAAACAGGTGACAATCTAGTCTCTCTAGGCCTTAGTAGGGGTGATTTGACACTCATAAAATCGTTTACACTGCAATAAATGACGGCGATGAATTTAGGAATAGTTTCATCACCAGAATACCAAACCTCGAAATACATAGCACTTACTTGAGTCGACTACCGCCGATAACCACTGACCTAAATATTAGTAAATTATAACAAGCAAGATAGAACGTTAGGATCGTTCGCTAAAAACGTTCATATATCCTAGGTAATGGATTCATTGAATCTTATGAGTGAAATAATATTCACGTGGAAATAAAGAAGAAATGTATACGTAACCGAAAAAATAGGTACCCTGTTACGTTCGTTAAATGACACCAGGCACTCAGCCGCATTTAGTACTACTGATAATATTATCTGCTTTAGTCAGGCTTGTTTGGTCCTGTCGATCTGCATTAACCAAATGTAAATGTCTTTTTATAAATCTTATCGGGTTTTTAAGATTTGTACATCTTAATACTGAGGATTTCGGAATAGTAACGAATGAGGCGCTTACTTCCTAGTTTTCACTAGGTATGTCTTAAAGTTTGGAAAAAAATCGAGGCGTTATTAAATGTGCCTCTTAACTTGCGCGTAGTCTTAAACGCAATTACCTAAACATTCGCTTAATTTGCCGGTCTTTTGTAAAATCGGATTAGTCGAAGACATTGGATGCCAACAAAAAAGTAGTGAACTTTGAGTCATCCACAGAGACACCCGAGGAGTCAGTAAAAACACCTTAATTCTTGGTAACTGATATGTTGAACAAAAGCTTGACATGCTCTCTATTACTTTAGCTATGTAACTGTTTTAAAAACTACAGAAGAGCGCTGTTGTTGATTCAGTGAGAATACCAATTTGGCTATGCGCTCATGTATACCAACTTTCAATGGTTGATTGGTTTATTTCATTAAATCAATTTATATGTATAAATAATGTTCGAAAGTATTTGAATTATCGTATGAACTAGGAATCTCAGAATCAACGCAATCGAATCATAAAGTACTAGATGAGCACAAACGAATGCACTGTATTTAGAATTCGAAATCATGCATTCAACTTGTACAAAGGTATCATTAATTCATTCAAACACCATATTATACTATCTAATAAATCATTTTCTTTACAGCTCCAAACGCAGATAAGTCAACGAACGCATCTCAATATAAACTATCTATGAACTAAATGACCATTAAAAACTGATAGTTGTTGCTGCTTCTGTAATTATGTACGTAATCCGTTTGGCGGTCGTAAGGTGTAGCATTCAAGGCAGGAAAACTGAGAAGAACTTTGAATATAAATGATCGTTGTAGTCTAAACCCTAAAGAACATTTTGACAAAGCGATAGTTGAGATATATAAATCACAAAACTTCTGAAGT